TTTTGTTTTTTTCCCACACAGAAATTACATGCTTCACCTTTGAATGTACATTCCCAGTGGCCTCAATCAAAATTCCAAATCGTTTGGTTAGGCATTACATAAATGGTCGACCTGACACTTGCATTGATGTTTTACGAATGTTTTTACACAATTGGTTCTGCTCGTGTTTTGTGAATAAGGCCCAATGTGTGCAAAGCATAAAGATTTTAAAGTATGAGTGTCATAGGCCCTTCACTGCTGTCGAAGCTTTGAACCAGTCGCCTTAAGCCAGGGATCTCCAACTCTGCTCCTGGAGAGCTTCATCCTGCAGATGTTAGTTCCAAAACACCTGCCTGTAATTATCAAGTAACTCTGAATACCTTGTTTAACTAGTTCAGGTGTGTTTGATTGGGGTTGAAGTTGAAATCTGTAGGACGATAGCTCTCCAGGAGCAGGGTTGGAGACCCCTGCCTTAAGCTGTGAAACGTTAATGAGCCGACATCGCCGCTACAGCTGTGTCGTAACCGACTCGTCTTGTTCCCAGCTGGAGGAGCTCAAACTGTCACAGGGTCCCACCCAGCCGTGGCACAGATCATCACTGGAGGCCAGGAGCTGGGCACTGGAGGCAGTCAGGCTGGAAGCACAGTGCAGCGGGGGCAGCGAGTAGCTGGGTGGCCGGAGGAGGAGACTGTCCCTGCCGTTTGCCCGTTGAGATGTGGTCTGCATTGGGTTCTGATCTGTCTCTGGTGGTCCCGGTCCCGGTCCCAGTGTGTGCAGGTGCATCTCGCTCTGTGTTACCTTCGACAGCACCTGGGGATCGTGCCAAGATGTTTGCGGTACGCTGTCTGAGATGCTGTATGCGGACTTTTGATCTCCCTTGGTCTCCGCATGTTGGTCCGGGATGTGTCCGTTCATACGAGACATTAGCATTCCCAAGCGTGGCAAAGAGTTTTTCTTGGAACGCGAAAAGCGCTGCAGGCGGCTGCTGGTCCGCACAAATGCAGAGGAGTGGGATATGTTGTTCCTCAAGCCACTGCTTTCCGGTCTGCCTCTGACCGGTCCCGACATGGACTTGAAGAGAGCTGATACGCTGAACTGGGACTCTCGGTTTCTCCTGTAACATTGGGAGAAGGACGTAGATGCTTTAGATCTAGACGACTCTCCCCCATCCCCACATCCGGGTCCTCTGAGCCTATTGTCTTCCTCGCCCTCCTCTTCCTCAGGCTCAGCTGTTTCGTCCTGCTGAGTGGCCTCGCTACTAGACGAGTATGTGCAGCGCGGTGGTTTACGGTTGCCCAGCAGGTCAAGAACCTCGTAGCGGAAGCTGGAGATGTCCTGCTTAAGTTCCTGAATGCAGAGAAATGGAATTCAATTACCGGAGCGTAAACTGCACCACCTAATTACAGGAAATATTCTAACGTTATGACATTATCTTCATGACTTCTGGTTCTTATGGTTTTCCTTGCAGACTTAAGGGGTGATTCATATCTGGAGTTCCATAATCAATCTCTCCTCAAATGTCTGATGTTTAAAATACAGGAGATGATGGCGTCACAAAATAGAAACCAAGCAACCAACAAAATGTCCTGTTGCATACAGGCTGGAAATTGGATTAATGTGGAATTACTTGTTGCTTTGTCATATTATACTAGTGGATAGTTCACTTTACACTTTAAAGGAGACATATTATGCCCCTTTTTACAATATGTAATATAAGTCTCTGGTGTCCCCAGAATGTGTCTGTGAAGTTTCAGCTCAAAATACTCCACAGATCATTTATTATATCATTTTGAAAATGCCTATTTTGAGTGGAAGCAGAGTGTTTTTTGGGCTTGTCTCTTTAAATGCAAATGAGCTGCTGCTCCCCGCCCCCTTTTCCAGAATAGAGCTACGCCATTCGCCGTGGGTATAAACTTACAGATTACGGGCAATAATATTATAATGAGATCCCTTGGCCACGTCACCAAGGGAGCGAAATCAGACGCGCTCGTTTTCTCAGACGCTTGCAGAAAAAGGCTTACCAAAGCAAAGTGACTGGGTTAATCTTTTTCACGTTTCCTTGGTTGGTAGATGCACTGGGGACCTGATTATAGCACTTAAAACCTGGAAAAGTCAGATTTTCATGATATGTTACCTTTAAGGTCCTAAAAGGAAATAGCTATTTAGACTATGAAATTCGTAGCAAGCAAAATGGATTTTATAAGGTGAATATTTCCCACTTCCCACATTTGATTGGATGTGTCATGTTTGAACCCATCTGCGATCGCACCTCAGCCAAACTTTATATTTATAGAAGTTGCTGTATTGCACTTTAAACAGTGTACAGTTAGGCTAATAAACTGTTTTTATTCATATTAACAATTAACAATATTAATATAATCAACATAATAATGACAATGAATATTTATCGAATACTGTTGTCTTTTGTAGCAATTCAGCTTATTTCTTCAGAAGACAGTAGATAATTATGAAATAAGATCATTTGCAGCCCTGAATTCAAATTTAATTTATTCTATACATAATATGTAAACCGTTCATATTGTGTATCTACTCAAAATGATTGATTATTGTATAGTATTCATATCTAAAGTGTGTTTCTACCACATACCAGTCAAACCTGCATGATGGACTTTGCTACATTGGATAAAAATTTACACTTTACGAATACAAATGAGATCATTATGGCCTCTATAAGTGCCTTTATAGAGATTAAGATGACTATAAAATCCTCATACCTTGAAGTTCTCCTCTGTCAACCCTTCGTCTGTTTTGGCGCTGCGGATCATGGCTGCAACATATCGCTTTACCAAGTTTCTGATCACCTCCTAAAAACAGCCACAAACCGGACAAACGTCAATACATTTTTCTTGACATATTACCTTCTGATCTACAAATAACCCTGATTTCCTCTTCAATATGAATCACAAAGGAGGTGATGATATATTCTCGGGTGGGGGTGCGATAGGGTGATGGGCTTTGAATGTGATTGGCATGCGCATATTTTGTGATTCCAGTTTAATAAGAGGTGAAAATCAGTTTTTGGCATATTCATGACATATGTATTAACTGGAGGTGAAAATCTGGATGTGCATTCATTAGCATTTATTTGCATATCCAATAAAGAATGAGCCAGCGGTGGCTCTCAAAACCCACTTACACACAACAACAACAAAACAGCTATTGCAATATCCACTACTGCAGCTCTTGATTGTTGGGGAGAAATATTTGTCTGTAGCAATTATATACAACCTCTCACTCACAACAGACCCTGCTTAAAGGAATCAGTCACCCAAAAATTACAACTCTGTCAATTTATTCATCCCTATTTTTTCACAGAACATAAAAGAAGAGATTTTGAACAATCATCATACAGCTCTTGCCATACAACAACATAATAAGCACAGCTGTCAAGCTCCAAAAAAAAAAAAAGTATCAAAAACGTCACATGACTCAGTATTCCACTACAGTGCTGCGTATGAAATCGCATACATCTATTCATAATAGATGTTCATTACAGTGTTGTGACCTGCACCAGAGGTTGCTGGACTCTGGCCGGCTATGTATTAATGCCTTAGCAATCAGCAGGGGTCCAGTGGTTATAAAGTTCAAAGCAGGACAGGGTGTAATGCAGTTAGAACAAGTAATGAATATGCATTGATAAGCTAATTAACATAATATTTCGTTTCAGTGTGATCATGCACTATTTATTTCAAGCAGCTTTAAAATCCCATCTACATGATTTTTCTCTTTGTAAGCTCCTAGAACTATCATTTACAAAAAGACATGCAAATTATGCAATGTGCAATGCTCTAATAACTCATTAATATGCATGATGCCCATAGGCTAATGTTTGTTTTCTCATTTAAATAAACTGTTGGAATTGTTACCATATTAAAAGCAAGGTTTGAATCCAACAAAATGCTTTAATGACACGGATGCCAAAGTGTGATGTGTTCGGCCAAATGCCATTACCTGGTAGTGCTGGTTCTGAATGAGGTTATCGGCATGCCTTTCCTGAAACAGATAACAACAACAAATTTCAACAGTAAATATGTGGCATGTAATACTTATGATCCAAAGGTGAATAGTTTGAACTATCATAAAGTAGTTCCAGTTACTGTTATTTTAGTATAATTGATATACTAGTATAATTATTGTTAATATTTAGAATTTTTGTTTTTATATTTTCTGTTTTCACTTTTATTTTGAAAGTGTGTTTTGTCATTTTAATTATCTTTCGAATATCTATATGGTTTTTATTAATTTAGTTTTTAATTTATTCGTTTGTTTTATTTATTTTAGCACTTCAAGTTAAACTAAACAAAAATGGAAAAATGTTGGCAAGTAGCTAAATAAAATAATTAAAAAAATAATATCAGTTGCATTTATTTTCTTAAAAACTTTTCTCAACGGTTTTAGTTTTATGATAACATCCCTGAATAGTTCACCAAAAAAAATTAAAACTGTCATCATTTATATACCTTCATATGTTTCCAAACCTGCATGACTGACTTCCATGGAACACAAAATATAGTGTTTGAAGTCAATTTTTTTTATGTATGACAATGAAAAGTATATATAGCTTTGAAAGGTGCATCATAAATGTGGTCCATGTGACTTCTGAAAGCCTTCTGAAACCATATAATAACTTTTCACTTTTAAAAGGCTTCACAGCTTCAGTCCCCATTCATTGTAACTGAATGAAAAAGAGCGACCAGCACATTCTTTTCAAATTTCTCATTTTGTGTTGCATGAAAGAAAGTCATACAGGTTTGAAACAACACGAGGGTGAATAAATGATGAATGAATTTTCATTTTCGCACAAACTGTTCCTCGAAATGACCTGAAACCCTCTGAAAGCATTTGACATGCATATTCTTCACTGCAATGCCAGCTACAAATTCAAAAATAAATGATAGCAGCCTTAGAGTGTTAAACCCCAAACTGTGTGCTCCATGTGCTGTGTGTGGGAGAATGTGGGTGAGCACGCTTGCAGAAACAGTAGAGCCCACCTCACAGTGGAGAGAAGTTCGACTGATCGAAAGATGTCAGGGGAACTGGTATGGTTGAAGCGGGGTTGCCTAGCAACCAACATCGGCCTATAGGGCAACTTGAGGCAGGATGCCAAATAGACAAGCCCTGACAGGTTAAATCCAAACATTATTTAATGGCAGGACATCCATGAAACCATTGAAAATGCAATTTAGGATTTATGAAGGTTTATTAGCATCCTTAATGTTAAAATTATTATTATCATTATCATAATTATTAAAATGTGCAAGATTAATCTTTTTTTGGCTTTAATATATTTTTCAGATGTTAGTAGGCCATTCTGAGAGGTCACACTTTGAAATCGAGGGGTTTCTTTTTGTAAAGTACAGTCAAAAATTGTGAAAATCTTGAATACATGTCAGTGCACATTACGTTTTCTGAAAAAATTGAATAAACGCTTTCTTGTGTAAATTAAGCTTCTTGATGTCTGTGTTGTCACATTTACAATTATTCAGTGAATTTTCGCAAGCAAAAGCCAGTTCATTCAATAAGAATCCATACAAACTGAAATTGTGTATGAGGGTGAAAGATTTCCCAACAGATTTTGCAATGGGCTAAAGCTGATCACGCAGATTCACACCTTAAGGCATAGATGATCCACTCATACATATACGGAAGACAGAAATAACTCTCAATATGGTAGTTGGAGTTTTGTCCTAGAATTAGTCAATTAAGATGCGGTCACATTTATGTTTTTTTCTAAAAAAAAAATTCTAGTTTATTTCTAATAAATGAAGAAAATGACTTGACTGTCTTGGGAACGATTACTCTAAATTAAATCAGTTTCAAACCGAATGACTCGATAATGACTTCATAATAATTGTAATTAAACTTTAAAAAACATTGCAACAAACTGCAATAACGGAACCGCCGGCGCCGCTGATCAGAGTCTATGCACAGAATAATTTACTCAGGGGTAGAGGAGAATCTACAAATATTGTTTGTTTTGATATAAACATTTCGAAATGGACCATATTCATAAAAAGACATTTGGTGTATGTACAATTTGCAACCCGAACATGACCGTCACAACCTCGAACTTCATTCACCACATGTAAAACAGTTTCTTATGGATAATTTGCCTAATATCTAAAGATTACACTTAAAAATAAAGGTGCTTCCAAAGGTTCTTCAAGCGATGCCATAGAAGAACCATTTTTGGTTCCACAAAGAACCATTCAGTCAAAGGTTCTTTAAAGTCTTTATGGAACCATTTAGACAAAAAGGTTCTTCTATGGCATCGTGAAGCACCTTTATTTTTAAGAGTGTATGACGATATTTTGTATATGTAGCTTGTCTTTTATGATTGTCTTTAGATCCCTATTAATTATTAACCCTGTTAATAGGCTAATCATTAATATCACGTTTTGTAGTTTCAATAATAAAAAAAATGTTCGTTTAGAAACTTAGTGCTTTAAACACATAGACTATTTAGTTTAGAATATTCCAGCTGGGATGGTTGTGATTTTTTTTCCCACCAGCACTTTTTTTCCATGGTGACACATCAAGCTTGCCACCTGACATCTCAAAGTCAAAATATTCATGAACTTGTTAAAGGAACTCCAGGTTGGTTGCAATGGTGTTCTGAATCGGTGTTTCTCTCTCTCTCTATTTTTATTTTTTTTTGGCTGTTTAATCATCCACCAGGCTAAAATCTGATTGATTTTTTTTTTTTTTAGAAAATGATTAGCAAACCTTTCTTCAATAAAACACATGCTTCGAGATGTAAATCATGTCCACAACACAAACAAAATATAATACTCAGGATACAGAGTTAACAAAGGACGAGCAGAGTAGCTTGCCTTCACTATTTCTTAAAAAATCACTGTTTATAATGACAATTATGCTGTTTTTGTTTGCTTTTGTCAAAGACTGTGTTACATCATTGAATGAAAGCTATAATGTGCCACCCACGCGCATACAGAATGAAAGCGCACTGTGCATTACCGTGAACTCTCTGAGGTTTTCGTGTTTACACTCGTCCTCATGCCTAGGCTCTCCATGTCCACACAGATGGCAGTGCAGCCACACACACAGGTACCACACAGACTTTGGACTAGGTATGATGTTGAAGGGTGGTGGTAACGTCCCTCCCTCATCAAAGTAGCTCATCCACAGCTTGGTGCGAGCAAATTTCCACTCAATGTCTGCGTGATCCTACAGCAGAGAAACAGACAGCCAGTTGGATGGAGGACAGTGCTGAAAGTGCCAATTGGGATAGTGTCCCAGACTGGCTTTTGTTGCTGCGAAATTCATCATGTGACTGGATGATGTGCGCTTACTCAGAATTGTGTTTACTTGGATAATAGTTCCCATTGTGAGACACATGCAGGGGTGAAAATGCCTCTAAATGCAGCTTATATAAGCACAAAACTAACGTGCTGAAAAATACACAGATATGAGCCCATCTGACTGTAACAAAACTGCTCAAATATGATGGTCTTTTAGTAAGATACTAATGGATTTAATATTCAATACATACACAAAAACATTATGTAATGTAAGAATATTAAACATTTTGAGGGGAATTTACATACAGAAAACATGTATAAACATAAAACTGGACATTATATCATAGACGGGGGTCCTAAAGACCCTCATGATTGTCAGAAATAAAGACCCTTGATATCAAATAATTTGACCTTTTTATGACAAGACATTTGTTGAGGATTAAAAACGTAATGTGGTGCAACTTCCAAAAACTGATTTATGAATAATTGAATAATTCACGATTTTTATTTTTTAAAAATACCTTGAAAAAAAAAACATGTATTTAAAGCTTTTCTGCACACTTTTTATTTGACAGTTACACCACATGACTTTTTTTTTTTTTTTTTTTTAAATATTAAAGTTTTTCAAAACCATAACAACACACAAAGAACAGAAAGAATATTAATAGCTTGGCACACGTTTTAAACAAGATTTTGGTCATGGACACTTATTTTTCATAGCACAATGTTAATTGCACAAATACAATGCAAGTAGCTGTTAGTTTTATCAGTAAGGCACATTATCATATTCCTTATTTTTAAACATTTTAGCCACTTTTCAGTTGGTCGCCCAGCTCAACTTCTTAAATACCATCTTGGCAAGGTTAAGATTAAGACCAAATTAATCCAGCTAAAAACAGCAAACCATTTGAGGCTGGCATAAAATGTTCTTTTTAGCAGGATATTATTTATATCTAGCAAATGTACTTAATTTAAATATGACAGAGCTATTTCAGAACATTTAGCATCTGGTCAAACTCATTGCAAGTAGTTGTTGCTCTGAAATACTGTTTGCAAATTTATTTTTTTAGTGAATTTGGACATTTTTGGCCACATTTAAAGAGGGCATGATTACAACTGATTTTAGACATTAGGTTGCTCTAACACTCTCAAACGTTCTTTCAATACCAAACAATTTAAGTGAAAGTAGTGTAAACTTTACACTATAAAAATAATCATCAGTATCTGATGGCACTTACAGCAATGAGTTGGTAAGAGTTGTTCATCATAGCGATGAGCATGTTCAGCAGCACCACCAGTGAGATGACATTATAAGTGCCGAACATGGTGGCCCCCACAAACTCGGTAAACTCATGACGAGCCTTCACATTGGTAACGTACAGATTCAACAGCCCAAACACAGACCAGAAGAGAGACTGAAGAGTTTCAAATAGCCTGAGAAGTCAAAGAGAGAGAGGGAAATAAAGAAAGACGCAAAGTGAGAATTGTCATATCTCCAGCTTCTCCCAAACAGACATATACACACCGAGTGATGTATATAGGAAAATTAGAATTGAAATTGAACTGAATTGGAATGGTTTTAAGCCATTTTTCCTCAACAGCCTGCAACTTGTAAAAATGACATACTGTTTAAAAAAAAAAAAAAATCAAATACAGCTAAGAAGAAAACAAACTGTAAACTTTTTCAATTATAATTTATTTTAATAATAATGATAATTTACTTATCCCAGTTTACAGTTTTTCTCAATTGCTTTGGCTCAATTCTCGAATGAAATTTTTTTTCCCCGAAACAATAAGTTCAGATCTCTGAACAATTAGCTTCTTGTTCACATCAGATTGGGATTGTTTCGAAAAATGTGCCAAAGCAATTGAGAAAAACTGTAATAAGCATAGACAAACATAAGAACGGCATTTTTCGCTGAATCCATCTGGACACTGTAATTTACTGTAAGTGACCAAATACTTAAGAAAGTAGAATTAAATATTTATTACAGCTAACTTTAAACACAAACTTGACAAACCCTTGTTTGAATGTTTTGACGTTTTTTTTAACACCTTTAAAATGGATGGATGAATGGAAGGATGGATGGATGGATGGATGGTTTCAGAGAATTTGGCAGTACATCCAACCGGCCTCACAACTGCAGACCACGTGTAACCACACCAGCCCAGGACCTAGATAGATAGATAGATATGGACAGACAGACAGACAGACAGACAGACAGACAGAAAGACAGACCGACAGACGATAGATAGATAGATAGATAGATAGATAGATAGATAGATAGATAGATAGATAGATAGAATAGATAGAATGAACAGATAGATAGATAGATAGATAGATAGACATCCAATTCAAATTCATATTTAATTTCATATGGGGAGCAGCCAATTCAATTAAAATTGTTCCTCCTATTATGCACTGAATGAATGAATGTGGAAAAACAGGAAAGAAAAAGTGGATAGTATTTTTTTCCTGACCGTTTTCACTTTGAACAAATCAAATATTAGCCCTCTCAGAAGTAGTTTGGAAATATATTGTTCTCATTGAAATCTCTTCCCATTTCTGAACACATTATTACTGCACAGCCATGAGCAACAGATTCTAATCATTACACAACAGTTGATAGATGCCATGCTGCTCTATAAATTTGTCTTCGTCCTATGAGATCAAGTGATTCTGCAAGGCTCATGCTATGATGTGAAATTTCAGGAAGATCATAACCATTTCCACTCTTGTTTCCTCTCTCATTTCTTTCTCATTTTGACCTCTGCAGGAGGTCAGCATTACGCTGCTTGTGGCATCTGTGGCCACATTATATTCATTGATCAAGTTGACCAAAGTGTCGGTTTGGGTTTTGTAATAGGTGCATCATAGTTCATTTATTTCGATTATTATCAAAGCTACAAGACCTCTGTTACTGCAAAGCCAAGCAGGGAGCTTGACTGTTGAGCTAAGTCATTATCATCTAATGTCTAATGTCCTCAACATGCAGGACGTTTTTACATTTGACTCTAGGAGAACAGAAAATATGTTCAAGCCAAAAAAGCTGAGCTGGTTTGTGGTCTTAGCTGGCCATGGCTGGTTTAAGATGGTCTCTCAGCCTAGTCCAGCTGGTGCTCAGCTAGTTTAACTGCAGACTGACTAGCTGAAAAGTGACCAAAACCCTTCTAAAACCAGCCAACAGACCAGTCTGACCAACTCAGGTTCAGGTCAGGCTCAGAGACCAACTAGATCAGCTTGAACCAGCTGACAAACTACTTTAATGTGGTTAACATTGTTTTTAGCGAGCCCCATTCAGTCTAGACACAAATTTATCTTGGCTTCAGAAAACTCGGAAATTATTTCTCAAGTTGTATGGACCACTGTTATCAGACACTCTTCTGAAAAAAATAAATAAATCTAGTTTCTGGTTTTCTTTAGTGACTTTGCCTGGTCAGGCTGGTCTGTTGACTGATTTTTGCCACTTTTTGCCAAAGCTAAAATAGTTAAATATCCTCTTAGCAAGGCAAGAAGACCTGCTTAAGCAAACCATCTTAGGCTGGTTTAAACTGTTCTTTGTCTATTTGTCATTTTTGGACCTTGACAGCCACTGGTCACCATCTACTTTCAGTTTATGGAAATTAAGTGCGCTTATTTGTATTGAAGGTGCACATGAAGTGTATTTCAAGCTTAAAAGCATATTTAAAAAAAAAAACTGTACTTACAGATAATATAATGTTAATTAAATAAAAGGCCACTTAAATGTACTTAAAGAGAGTATACTTTCATGACTATGTTCCTTAACACACTTAAGTACAGTGTACTTGCTTATAATATCACATCAAAAGTTTTACTTTCAGGTATATTTTAAATAATTGTGTTAATAATCTTTTGTCTTTTTATAGAAGTACACTTATTAATCTTTTTATAGAAGTACACTTATTTTGATGTGTTTACTAACATAAAGCACATGCAAAGTACTTGAATACAATTTTAACTGTAGTGTGTTTTTCGATATTACATTTAAAGTTAATATGTTTTATATTTTACATCTACTAAATTCCAACTTCAGCTATACAAATATGTTTAAATAAGTGCTATGCAAGTTTCAGTAGAAATTTCATTAAAGTATATCCTTGTTTATTATAAATGCTTGTCAGTACATTCAGTAGTACACTTTAACCATATTTGTATGAAAATAAAATGAATTATGAACTTACATGCAGCACTCAAAAGATCAGCTAACTGCTTTTAATATAAATGATGTATTATATAATTATAACTATAATGTATTTTTATTTAATTGCTAGTAACATGCAGTTAAGTGTGTGAAAACATTACATTCAGTTTGCACTTATTCTTTTAAAGTATAAGTACTCTTTTTAAAGGGGCTATATGTAAGATTTTCATGTATTAATCTCTTTTTTATTGCCAATAACAAAACTTTAAAAAAAGACATTCCCTGACTTCCTAGGTAGTCTATGAAAAAAAAGGGATTAATTCAAACTATAGTCTCTAAAGACAGATCTATAGAGTCTATAGTCTCAAATACACTTTTGTATGGCGGGGGGGGACAATTGTAACACACTCAATTCCTCCAGTCAAAAACAAGCTAGAGTGATGACACTTAATCTGCACATGCTCAGTAGGATTCTCTCTCTGCCTGTGAAAAAGGAGCATAATCATTATACCTAAGCAGAAGTTTTTAACAAAATACTGATTTTGAGGTATGAAAGTTACTTTTTGGATGTACAGTACTTTTTCTTCTGCTGTCTAGAGTTTCGATGACTGCGAATTTAAACTTACATACATTTTATCTTATTGATACAACAGCAGTAAAGTCATTACTTTGAGATACAGTGGGTTAATATGACTTATTTTTCAGTGTTACAATTGCCCCCAAACACTGTTGGGGGCAACACCCACAAGGGGGCAATCGTAACACTCTTGACTTCTTGCATTCAATTTAATATTATAGTCCTGTCCTTATTAGTGAAAATATAGCAATTGTATTATTAATTAGTGCACCTATATTTGTTTCTTGTATCAAAAGATGACTAGTGTATTTCAAGTAGTCTGTGAGTTATGAAGGAAAATGTAAAAAAAATTTGCAATTGAATTGTAGTGAACTGTAGAGCTAGTGCAAACATATCCACATCGCTAGGACCAGATGCTGTCATTTTTGTGTGTTTATTTTGTTATTGAGAGGAAAGCGTGCAGCACATATTTACATATTCATCTAAACACTGCTCTCAGGAGTGTGGATGGCGTCTGGATGTTCGCTAACAGTATATCGATGCATAGGTATTTACAACTTCTGTTTACTTTTAAGCAAAGTACGAAAAAGTACGAACTTGGCTGTGAGTATATCGGGGCCTTGAATCATGTTCAAATTACGTGTGCATGCCAAGCGGCAACCTCCCGCTCTCTCTCGTGAAGCCAACACGGAAGTGACTTAAACTGTAATTCATCAACTGGTCGCTAGAGGCTGGCTGCAAAAGGGAGTCAGTCCCATAGACTCCCCATGTTAAAATGCCCAACTTTACAGCAGAAAAAAACGTTTGCAGCCTGGTTCAAAAAATTATTTTGGTCTATATAACTAATTTTGCTGTGATCTAACTGTGAGGGGGGTGAATTTTTTTATAACTCATCCGTTTCAATTATATTAAACTTTAAATTTCTGCATAATTAAGGGCGTGGCCACTTGAGTGACAGGTGGATTGCCGCTGCTGTCACCACCGTCGAGCTAGGTGGGCGTGGTTTCAGCAACCAGCTCCCGCCTCTTTGCCCATTTTCGATTATCCGGGAGTGACGCGCTGCCAAGATGGCGA